TGACGTTTGATACGATATAGCTCCGCCGTTGATCATGGCGAGATTATCTCGTCTTAAAGCGACATAACTCCGCCGTCTTACAAGTGACATATCTCCGCACGGATATGAGAAGTTTAAAAAGCACAGAGTTGACGCGAAAATATGTCATGCGAAATCATGTCGCTACCTTTATTTTATATTGCCTAAAACACACTTTCAGCACTCATTACTCATTTGTTACATATAGTATAACAGTTAGTATAACAGTGTTCACTGTTTTTAAAAGCTTCAAGAAATTAACTACAGTGTTTGAACATTTAAACATTTTACAGTTTAATTGGCTTACAACTCAAGGTAAAACTATAACATTTTAAACGTTTCACAACATTGATTTTGTTTTATTTACTGCTAAATAAATGTTTGCGCTCACTTGAAAATAGCTTTTTATTTTTTTTTGTTTTTTGATTTTGATCTTCTCTGTTGGTTTTCTTAATGATTATATCATTTAGTTGACAAGAAATTTGGCCAAACTTTGATATTCCAATGACACCGCATTTTCTTCGCATGATGCAATGCGCATTTACAAACCAAAATATTTCAGTCTTATAGCACACTGATGTCATTCCATTTGAGTTTCTTCCAAATGTATATATATATATATGTATATAAATATATATATATTTGCAATGATTTCAAGCATTGAGCGAATGTTAAATTGCGTCATTGCCTCAATTTCGACTTGCCTTACTTTCGAACAAACGAGTTTTGAGCTCGTTTTCAACTTTGCTTTGTGATTTCTAATGCCGACGCGGATGCTGCTGTCTACAATGATTACCAATTAGATGAAACTAGATACCTGCCTCCGAGAGAAGAGCGCGAGCGAGATGCCATTGATACTTGACTTTAGCCGCCTATAGAGAGCGTTTCGGCGACTCCACCGAGATTGGCTGCGCCCCGCATGCTGCAATTTAATGAATATGTAATGGCAAAAAAAAAACCACTGCTGCATAAATTTTGAGCACCCCTGCTGGTTTTAGCAACAAGGAAAATATCATTATCATTGTTTGTGCCATCTGCCCCGGCACTTTCCACACTTTCCATCTATACCTTTTTCATTCTATTTCTCTCTCTGTACTTGGCAGCTGTTTTCCTGCGGGTGCGTCAAAAAATTATCTGGCTAAACTTTTGATGGCGTCTGTCTGAATTTTGCTCGACTGTGTTTGAAGCTTTGCTTGGGGCGCGCGTTTTTTTGCACCATTTTGCATATTTTTTCTGGTAATTGCTGCAACATGATTTGATTATTAAAATTTAAATATTAATTGAAATTGTTGTTTCTCTTTATTTTTTTGTTGACAAGAAACTGTTAAATTGCGCCCTTTACAAGGCTCGTTAAGTTCAACAGGGGATTGAGGTTATGTGTGCGTTTGTGGTTATGTTTGTGTTTGAGGTTAGGTGCGGCTTGTTAATCAATTAGTCGAAAAGCTGATGTTGCATTAAAATGCTGTTTGTTGTCGCAAGATTTATGCGGCTCATAAATGTCAAATGCAAATACAGACACGCACACACACACACACACACAGCACAGACACCTGGTCAAGCGCCTTGTAACTGTCGCATAAATATAATTTCAATATATATATATATATATATATATATTCAAAAGGAAACCTCAATTAATCTTGATAATGTCAGCTTACAAACTGCTTGACTTCTGGCTGGCTGGACGTTTGCGGGACTTGCGGGTAGTTGCATCAATAAATGCCCATCAGCTGCAGCAACTGTGGGAATAGAAACAAGTGGCAGGCAGTCAGGCAGGACTATACAATTCTATGTAGGACATATCAAATAAAATATTTCATGCAAAATTTACAACGCACACAGACAGAAACCGAAAACTGTAAAGAAACCATATGTCAATTGCACACACACACATACACAACCGTAACGGACAGCAGACAAGCAAACTTGAATGCTCAGCACCCAGCCCCGCACAACAGTCCCCCCCCGCCCGCTTTGGCAAACACAATGGCATGTCAAATGCAAAAACATACTGCAAACTGTAGGCAGGGGCAGTCAAGGAAGGTTGTCAGGATAACTACACAATGTTTTTGAGTGCCACCCGCAACCTCAGCCCCCCTTGACAGCCCCGCACACCCACCCTATGTTGCCTTTTTTTTGGGTGCGCTGTCGTCTTTGCTGCACCTACAACTTCCGGCCTTTGTTGAAATAACCATAAAATCAAGATAAGTTATTGGATTTGCTGGACAGGAAGCACGGTATAAGCACTTTTAACTCTCCATACGCAGAGAGCACAACCAAAGTTGCCAGACTGTGCGACTGTTCGTGTGTCTGTGCCGTTGCGCCTGTCCTTGCCCTCGTCTTTTGTGCCCGAAACCTTGTGCTCTGTGTCGTAGATTAATTGCTTTTTTTTTTGGTACTTTTCTTTTTTTTTTTTTGCTGCAAAAAAATGCCATTTTTCTGTAATATAAATACTACCTTTTTATTTGTATACCCTGTAGCTATAAAACGGGGGGGCAAAAATGAGATTAAATTCTAGAAATGTTTGCAAGGGACGGAACTAAAATGTAACATACAAATTATGGCATAAATTTGCTTGATAGTTGAGCAAAACTAGCTATAACTGCCTGTAGAGTCCTTAGGAACTCGGCCTTTATAAGCCAGATGCAACAAAATAATATTAAAATATTATATTTATCAAGTAGTTCTAACAAGCTATAAATATGTATAAAGAAAAAGCTCAAGAAAGTCTTTAAAGAGGATATTCATGTATTCAAGAAGCCTTTGGTTGGTTTATAGTGTTAAGAAGAAATTGAACAGGCTGAAATTATATTTAATTAGTAGTTAAATAATTCAAGAGCTATTGAGAAAATGGTGGAACAAAATATGATCAATATCCTATTAGATCCAATTACAGGGTAACTGCTGGCTTCGCATTCGGAACTGAAGCATTGGCGTTTGCTTTTTTGTGAATTTCGCCTGCCGCCTTTGAACTTTTGTGCGGCAGAGCAATTGCCCAGGCGACCTGGCACCACAGCGACGTCCTGCTAGCTAGCTGTAGTTTCAACATCTCTGCCCTTTTGCTCGTGAGCCCTCGACTGGCTTTTCTTTATATAAATAGTGGCGTTTGCGTTTGCGTTTGTTGTCGCCGTTGTTGGCGCCCACAATGCGCAGCTTAGCGCCTGTGCTGACTGTTACCGGGAGGCGCTACGCCCAGTGACTGCTGTGTGGCGCCACACAATCAGTTTTCGCACTTGCCGCTTGGAATATCGTTGTCGGTCGTCCGTTGGCACTTCAAGGGCCTGGGCCTGTGCCTGGGCCAGGGCACTGGTGGTGGAAAGCGGGGGGCACTAATGCGATTAAGCCGCTTGTTGTGGCTGTCAACGCGTTGACTGGCTGACTCTGCCCGCGTGCCACATGCCGCGTGCCGCATGCCCCTTTTGGCCCCTCCCCATTGCATAGAGCTCGACAAGCTGCCTCAGCAAGCTGCTTTTGTAATTCACTTAAGTGTGGCATTTTGGCCTGCGGTAAACGGCCGCCATTGTGCGCGTGCAACATGCCCCTCCAACTTGCCCCTTACACAGAGATCTCTTTAGCATACGGCCCTGGGCAGTTGGATAGCCGGAGCAGAGCTTACCTTTGACTATATAGTATTGCGTCTATGGGGCAAGGGCTTTAGTTTAATCATAAATTTCATTTCGCTCAAGTGCCGCCTGTTAAACACAATTCTCTATGCGCCACGCTTTCAACGTGCCACAAAGAGCCGCAACCCAAAGCTAGTGGCTGAAACAGAACACATCAAAGCCACTGTCTGAACTGGTCCTTAACCCGGCTAACTACAATTTATGATGACATTATGGCGTGCGACTGTAATCAGATACCAGCTTGCGAGTCACGGTCACAGTTAAACGTAAAAGTTATATTAACTAGCTTCAGAAAAGGGCTGGCAAGTGTGACAAAGGGACACGCCTTTTATTTAGATACCCTACAAAAAGAATTAAAGAGATTAAGAGTGCATAACAGGCATTGGCAGGCCAAGCTGAACGAACACTTAAACTAACTAAAACTTGTTTAAATGCTCAGCTAACCTCATGAAAAAAAGGAGCTATAGAAGCTCGAGTTTTAAAATTTGGTATGTAGTTTCTCGTGGGCCAACTCCCCTTGCAAGGCGTGAAATTTTAAAATAAATAATACAAGAATAGTGAAAATAGAAGATGTTTTATGGAAGAGGTCCAGTTAAACTGTTTTTGGGTTGCAGCAAAAGATCTTGAGTTACTAAAAATTAATGAATTATAATTATTTTTAGTAAACAAATATTACAGGGTATCTGCTAGTCAAACATCAGCTCTCCAGCGTATTTTGCGTCGCTTTGGCACACGCACCGCCTACAGGCAGGCGGGCAGGAAATCTTTATGAGCTCACACGCTCATCAGGAAGCCCCGGCGCCGGCAATCAGGCAAGCCTAGGGCTAAAAGCAGAGGGTATAGAATGTGCGGGTTTGAGGGGTTGCCAATTGGAGTTTATTAATTTGAGGCCGTGCGTGCTGAGTGCCACAGTTGAGTCGAGATATTTTCAATTGTTGTAAATATTTCCTTTATTATTGTAATTATATTTATAGCTATGTGGCGGATGCGGAATGTGGAACTTTCAGCACACTCTGTGGGGCACTTGCCACACTGGGCGGCACTTGCCACACTGGGCGGCCATTTCTGACATGGCTCATGACAATGTTGCGTGTCGCATTGGTTGGCTTTTTGTTGACTCTTTGGCTGCGCTTGTCGCATTAGCAGCATATTTCAACAGCTCTTTATTGGCCGAAAAAAAATAGAAATAAACACACCCGCTACATGCAATTAGTTAAATATTTTGTAAACAATTTTTATTATTTTAATGTGGCCAATTTTGTGGCAATTGTGCAAATGCCAGGAAAATCTGTGCTTTTCCACTCATTTCCCCCGGCTCTTAATGTTATTTATGCTATTTCTGCTTGTTTACTTTTACAGAGGGCACAATTTATGCCAAGTGCTTGGGGCGGGATGCGCACACTCTGGAGCACACACTTCCGGCACGGCCACATCAGGCCAGGCTTGACTTGACTTGACTCCACAAACTTGGCTAGTCTCTTGAAGAGGAGCAGCAGCGGCAGTTGGCAGCTGACTGGGCGTGGCTACGCCCTGATGTCTCAGGTAATTATGCATATTTAAGCAGTTTTGTCTACAACAGTTTTGCGAGCCTAAAAGCGTCCTTTCAAATGAATTATTTATGCAAACTGAGAGCGGTGCGGGCTGCAGCTAGGATTCGGGCATATGCAAACATTACCTCAAGTTGTTGTCAAGTGGATTTAATGGAGCCTAGGGCCCGACAGGCCGGGCCTTCTATGCGCAATGTGGTAATGTGTTTATGTGCTCCTTAAAGCCCATTCACACACTTTGACGGAGGTGCGTGGCCGTAATTGGGCCCCTAAAAGCATGCCATATATATAAATTTGAATACATATATTGCGCCCTGAAATTAATGCCACACTATTAATGCTAATGTCGTAACATCGCTCCAACGCACTCGACATTTGTCAATGACGAAACATTTACGCTTTCTATACCCTCTGCAAAGCATATTCAACTTGAGCGGCAGTGCGAAACAAGGCAAGGCTCAAATGCTATAAAGTGTTTTGTGTATATAAACCTTTAAGCCTCATTGACCTCAACGATTAAGGTAGCTAGAACCCTGATATTTAGTATGTCAGCTTGTCTGTGCTTAACATTTTTAAATTTCACATATATATATCATATCTATATAAGCTACTGCAAAAGTATGTAAGAATCAGGCAAAGGCACAACCTGGCTATAAAGCAGTTATATTATATATATGCCAATCTTCTAAGCTGCGCTAATAGGACACTTTGTGCGTGTAAAAACACTTTTACTAACTCTATCCAATATTGCCCTTCTATAGCTGCTCTGCAGTTCCACAAATTTGGGGTAATGATATACTAGTCTGTAATAGATCCTAGACTAGACGAGAGTTATCCCATGGTTCTCCTCATTTACAGCTTGATGATGAGTTACGTTAATTTAAATCTTGTAAGGACAGCTTGAGTCTATAATTCAAACAGATCTTAGACTAGACTAGAAGAATCTCATGATTTTCTGCTCACTTAACAGTTTGATGTATGAGTTATTCTAACTACAATCTTGTAAATCACGCTTTGCTCTACAATTCAAAGAGATCCTAGCCTAGACGAGATTCGTCTCATGATATTCATCACAATTACAAAAATCTTTTAACCAGCTGCTTAAACGTCTCTAAAAGATTTTGAATATATCATGACGCATTGGCAGTTAGATGGTAATTAAAATAAAGTGTGCCCACGCCTGCATAGGCTTAAAGTCACGCACATAAAAACATCATTAGGAATGAGCTGATGCCCAAAAATCTGCGCTGATTATTTGAATATATCTTGATGTATGATTGAAATGTTTTAACGCTTGCTTAAACCTGCCACAGAGCATTTTCCAGTCGTTTATTTTCAGCTGCATAACATTGGCCTGATCTTCTTCAATGTGATTTCATTTCATCTCATCTCTCACACACCACCCTCCACACACACACACACACACACCCACCCACACACCACCACACACTTCACTACACAGCTTTGCTTTCAGCTTAATTGTTTTGCAACTAAACATCACAGCCGAATGCCTTTCATCATTTTACCAAGGCCCAAAAGCCCAATGCCCAGTGCCTGCTCAATGCGCATTGTTGTTGGGCCACAGAAAATCGTGTCTAAGTAGCTTTTGTGCAAATGAAAAGCGGAAAATGAACGGAAAACGGAAACGAAAGAGAGCAAAAAAACTTTAGCACACTTTGAGGCGAAAATCAAAAGCACCATTGAGCCGACAAGCCAGTGCTTGGCTGGGGGGAGGCTGCCAATTGCCTTGGCAGCTAATTAAAATGTATTTAAATGCGTTGTCACCTACCCCAGGCCCCCCGCCTCTTTCCGTAGACAGTCGCGCCCCCCTCACCCACTCAGCTCTAAATCAGGTTTGTAATTTATGCCATTTTAATAGAATTTTCGAGGCGCACGCACACACAAAGGCAAACAACAAATTGGTTGGCTTAGGACTGAGGACAGCAAGGACATGTGTACGAGCAAGGACAACATTGAAACAAAAACAAACCAACAACAAAAGTCGGAAATTAGCATAGTTTAAGGCACTGGCCAACATTTGCCGTAGCATAGTTAGCGGGCCAACAAAAGTTTTTTGATGTTTTTGCCAATTTCCCGTGCAAACGATTTACGGCTCGACCAAAATTTGAAGAGGGGCAGGAGATGGCGGGCGGAGGGAAAAACTTGCGGCAAGAACTTTAAAAGCGCGTTTAATTTATTGATTTGGGTCAGCAGCAGGCGCAGCACCCAAAAGGGTAAGGGTCAACCTTTTGGGCGTTGCCCGGCCTGTGCAAATTTATATGTTTGCCCTAAATAGCAATCAAAGGCTTAACAATGACTGCGCCCCTCTCAATCTCTCTCTCTCTGCCCACATAAATGTTCACTTAATTGAACTTTGAACCGAAACGTTTCAAAATACCAGCGTATTGAATTCCAATTGGCAGCGAACTCTTGAGTGCTTTCTGAGTGAAATTCAAATAGTTGCGGCTGCCTAAATAAACTCGACGGCAGCTTAGGGCCTGGCTCCTTTGGACTGGGTGCGAGTTCAAAAGCTGATCTGTCATTTGTTGTTATTGTTGTTGTTGTCACTTTTTTTGTTGTGCGTTTTGTTGTTTCGCATTTGGTTGCGACTGATAAATGTGCCGCTTGGCAGCCGAAACCAAAAACAAACACATAAATCACCACCACGTGCTAGGCCTTCAGCTGGGGTGGTAATAGAGAAGGGAGGGGCCTGTAGAGAGACAGCCAGTTAAAGTTCCACATTATTTTAATTATTGTCAGCTTTAGCATTGAGATACTTTATGTTTGCATCTTTAGATTTAAGCAGCTTGGCGGTCCATGAAGTTGGCTAAAGGAGACATTTTCTAAAATTTAAACAGGCATAAAGTTAACTTGCTTGCAGGTTAACAAGCTTTATATCTGCGACAATTCTCCGTGAGTTCAAAGGGATATTTTCTATGATGAATACATCCATATTTCCCAAAATCTGCAGTCTCTATTATTGAAGTTATAAACTTCACACTTGGAATGTTTATTTATATATAGATTTGGCTCAATCAAAAATGTGCTTCAAAAATTTGCTCAGATTTATTCAGCCCTTATTACTGCTTACTGATGACCTCCTTCACAGATCATGCCTCACCACATTGCCTACAAATCGCCAAAAATATCAGTGTGTAGGGCACTGCGTTTCGTTTACAGTTTTACTCCAAGCAAACAATTTTTTCTAGGTGTTTTTAGAGTGTGAAAACCTGAGACCAACTTTCTTACCTTTTTCTTACTAATTTTTCACCTTGGAGAAGTTTTACAGAGTCTCTGGTCTTCTAATTTAACTTTTTTCCGCATTAAACTCTTTTATGCACAATTATTTTTAAGTTTTCATCAACTTTCTTATATCGTGTCCGCGCTTTAATCAACTTTTCTTATTAATAAAGCTGCCTTCTTAACTTTCCACCTGGCGGAAAGCCCTCCATGATTCCAAACTCTCGCTTCGTTTAGGACTTCCTGCATTGAACCAGTTCGCTCTCCCCTTTGACCACTGCTTCTGTCAAACTTTATGTTTTTGTTGTTTTTGATCAAATTGGTTAACACAAAACGCACTTGTGCCAACAATTTGCTGGCCGACAACGAGGTTGAAATTTCAAATTCCCAAATTCAAAATCCAAAATCCAAAAGCGAAAATCCAAGTACATTCTGACAGATGGCAAACAATGCAGCTAGGCGAGAGTGTGTATGCCAGATTGTGTGTGCGAGTGTGTGCGTGTGTGTGTGTTGCAAAAGCCAAATGAAATTTGGCCACAGTCGAGTTGAAGCAGAAGCTGTGCAACACACACACAGAGAGGGAGAGACTTGCTGCCAACCGCAACAGCCAAAATTTATGCCAATATTTGCATTCAATGCCCCAAAAATAAACCGTAAAATGGTTGTTGCCGCAGCCCTGAGAGTTGAGCCAGCACAGCAGGCAACATGGGCGTGTGGGCAGGGCCAAGGCTGCCCCGTAAGCTGGGCGAAGGGTGGCAACTGGAGGGGATTGGGGTACGCTGGCGAAGCTGTGGATAATATGCAGCCTGTGCGCCTGCATTACTATGTAGGCTCAAAATTTCATATTTATGATAGCAGCCAGCGGTGGTCGGTCAGAGGGGGCGGAATGGGTTATTGGGAGGTTTGCTTGTTTGTTTGGGGCAGTGTGAATGTGTGCATTGACTGCAATAATTCAATTGCACACCTACGCAATTTACTGGCGCCACAACAGCAACAACAACAACAACGAGAAGCACAACAATCAGCACGCAGCCTATCGGAATATTGAAATATCGTAGCAGTTGCTCTTCTGGTCTGGTCAGCAGTGGGAAAACGTTTAAAGCGCTTGAACGCACACTCCAACTCACACACACACAGACGCACACACACATGTCTGCGCATAAAGCAAACATGGTCAACATTTAGCATATTCCGAAAGTTAGAAGCTGAAAAGCTCTCCCTCTCAATCTCCAGCTCTCGGTCGGCCGACGACTCGGTACTCGGTTCGTGTTGCCTCGCTGCAGGAGTTGGGCATAATTGGATTTGTTTAGCTGTCAATATTATGTCAGAAGTTGACATCAAGAGTTTGACACATGACTGCAAGGCATAAAATAAAAGTTGAGCGTGGGCGAAGGGCGGCATGGAGGCGTGCCGCGACAGACAGGCGAGCCAGATAGACAAGCCGATAGAGGAATTGAGCTCAATAGCAGAGATACAGGCACTCAGAAATTAGACGGAGCAATCAGACGGCCAGACAGACCGGACAAGTCAGGCAACATGAATAGATAAGAAGTCTTTTGTCTATATTTAAATGCCCTGTTAATAATAAAATGGCTAACAAGGGCGTGCTGTGGCTGGTTCGAACGTTTGTGACGGAAAGAAACAGTTAACTGAATAAACGGAGGT